TTGAAGTGCCAGGGGGAAGATAAACTATAAAAAGTACATGGCTTAAAAACTCAACCCAATTGTAACCTGAGGGATTTAAGTTAAAACTAAGAAAAACTTTCCCAAATACCACTGATGTGGCCTTCATACTGTGAGCTTCAGGAAGTTCTTTCACTAATATGCTTTAAAACAAAGAAACGAACGATATTTAACTGCTTCACCTTTTTAAAAGATGCATTCATGCCTGAACACTAAAAAATGAACAATCTGATCTGTTATGTTCATATGCAGATAACACTGCCAACATAGGTACAGTCAGCTAGAGTAGTTCTACCTTGTCATACATACTTTCAAATTAATACTGGGTAGAAGCAATTCCATTAAGAATATTAAAATCAGAATACTTTATTCCTTACCCAGGCTTCTGTTACTCCCCTGAGAATTTTTCCTCGATGAAGAACTACTGGGCACGCTGGACAGTGAATCATGTCTCTACAAACAAAATTCTTTAGTCAGAAATTGTGTATCGGACTTTAAGGGTCATGAAATAATACCTACCCTAATATCAAACTGCATGCTAACCATTTGACAGTGTTCCTCATCAGAATTTCCCACTTTTAGATAGAAGAGAGAAAAAAAGACTTGTGTTTTATCAGGAAAATCTGAAATATCTGACTAGCTAATACATGGGAAAGCTTTTGCTGGTTTGGGTGTGGTTTTGTAATAAAGAGGAAGCGATTACTACTTATGTTTCATAGTTGAAATTATTAATAAAGATCAGAATATATTTGGAAGTGCCCTGTTACCTAAAACGAGGGGTCAGTAAACTGCAGCTCGCGATCGGCATCCAAAGAGCCACATGTGGCTCGCAAGCCGCATTTTGCTGACCTCTGTTGAGAAAAACCTGTAAAGCAGCAGTTAGCCAAGCATGGTCCCTTCTGGACCAGGAGTGTCAGCGTCATCCATGCAACTGTTAGAAATACAAATTCAGGCCCCACTGCAGGGCTACTAAACCAAAATCTCTGGGGGTGAGGCCTGGCAACCTGTATTTTAACAAGCTCTCCACACAATTCTATGCATGTTAAAGAATTGGTGCTACAAAAAATTAAGTCTACAAAAAAATAAATCCACTGGGGATTATTAAGGATTATTTAGGATACACTTCCATTTTAATAAAATATGTGTAAAAAAGTCCACAAGTATATATAAACAATATTTTCTCTCAGTTATAGGACTATAGGTAATTTGTCTTTTTACTTCGCTTAAGTCTACTTTTTAACTATTAAATAATAATCACAGTTCACTTGTATTTAAAAAAGAAATATTTTTTTAAATATCAAAAAACCCTCAATTATTTTTCAAATTCAGGAGGACAATGTGCTAATATTAATGAATACCTAAAGTCCTACATCTAAACAGAAATACTAATTTTTACTAACTAGGTAGTTATTTTCAATAAGGAAAGTTAAATCAATAAGCACTTTTAAGTATATACCATTTTGAATTTCAATTGCCTGAGTGCATACCAACTGAGAGATGTAAGACTCATAAAAAAATTTTAAAAAAGAAAAGAAAAATTACTGCCTTTTAGTATTCAATTGAAGTCTTCCTAAAATAATGCGCATGGGAAATACCAAGTGTTTATTCCTCAGATATTAAAATAGATACATCTACAAAAGATATACAACATGTAGTTCCTAATGTAATTCACACATTTCTGAAATTTTAGCTTGAAAATAAATTCTCGGATATAATTAAATATATGTAAATAATTTACCTGGATGAACCGCTGAGAACTTGTAAGATCAAGCATAGACTTGCTTAACCCAGGGGAACCAGGGAGTTTGTTGGTCCTTAAATCACAAACTACAAAGGTACATGAGAAAATTACTTATTTTTATAGTAAAGAAAAAACACTTGAAATTCTACTTATTTACAATGACCTACATCTTTTTAGAAATGTATCATGAATATTTTATGTAAATCTACATGAGATAAAGCCTTCTAACAAAGTTTAAAACTTTTTAAAATTATTTTGTTTGAAACAGAAACCAACATACATCAAACAATGCATTTTCACATCCACATTAAATATCAAGCACAGAAAATTCACTTTTTCCCTTACATTCCCCAATTCTTCATCCCAGAAGAATAATCTAACAGGATGTAAGTCCTCTGTGCTAAATGTAGTTCAACTATTTAATGAGCACTTATAAAAGAAAATAAATCAATACTGAATCCCATCTGTTCCTATATTTCTAGTTTCCCTCATAAACCGTAAGATCCTGGAAGAATGGAACCCTGTATACTAATTGTGTATTCTAGCACAGTGCTGAACTAAATAAATATTTAAATAAATACTTCTGCTTTATTTTTAGTACCTCATCATGAATTCAGGGTTGCTATATACATATATATATATATATATATATATATATACACACACACATATATATGTATATATGACACATGAAAAACAGTGAAAATTTTGTGAATCAGATATATATAAGATAGACTATAACTGATGTAGTCTCAAATATGAAACCAAGAAGGTTCTAAAGTCATTTAGGCATTTTCTATTTTCTTTGCTTCCATTTCTAATCATACCATGAGTTTCCAAATTCATCATTTTCACTGAATAGTGTAGAAAAGGTTAGTAAATATGTTATAGAATTTACAAAATAATCTGTCAACAAAACTTTCAAAAAAGGAAAAATAAAATTGAATTTGGAACTACTAACACATATAACTTACTAATCTTTCTATTTTTTATATTAGATGTAATACTACGAAGAAGTCATGATGGCTTTTTTT